CAAGAGGAAAAGAGGACCATACCTAGATATTAATAATTTGACACTTGGCCAATCTATATTAGATAGACTTCCATTTGAAACCTGACTTTGTTGAATTCTAAACTCATCTAGATTCCCTTCGTACAATCCACTTTAATAACTTAAAAAATACAACGAGCCTTTAACAGCGATTGAACGTACAGATCAAATCGTTGGTAGAGTCACCTCTAACAATAATTGATTTGATCATAACTATAAATTGAAGCTCTACCATGAGCATGAGTGCATAATCAACTAGATCTATTAGATCTATTGTACATGAAAAGTCATCACTTGTCTCCAGCTCTTGATAGGGAAGGTTTGCTCCTACCATTTGGTTTAACAATTGAGTTAATCGAATCTACTAGTTCAGTACTTGTCCTTTATCTTTTGTAAAAAAAAAAAAGGCTACACCAATATTCATATTAATCGATTCATATTTGGGTGGATATGCATAAGTCGTGAACGAAAAATCCGCAATGAAAATTCTCTACTCCCTTCACTAAAACAAAGACTAATAGGTTTTTGATAAATTCAAAATCTATTCGGTTTAGATGGTTGCAAAATTATATAATAAATTTTAGAATTTTACTGTAACTCATAAAAACGTATGAAATAAAGAAATGAGAAAATTTAGAAAAACATCCGAATATGTTTTCACACTATCTCGACTACATGCATATATTATGTCAAATTTGGGTTGTTCATATTTGATACTAATCTAACTCACTTTCTAGTTATGTTTGTCAATAAATATTATTTTTAATTTTGTGTTAAACTTATATAGTCCATTTGGTATAAAGGATGGAAAGAAGGAAAAGTGAAAAGAATAAGGTTTCTATCCTTGAAGGAAAGAAAACTATTTTCCTTCTTTTTTGTTTGGTAGAAGGGATTGAAAGTAAGAAGGATATATTTTTTATTGTTTGATATTTTGATGAAAAATGAAAGGAAAGGAAAAACATATATGTCCGATGCACAATTCTACCATTAAATATGTTTTTCACTCCAACAAGTGAAAGGTAGAAAAGTCGACTTAAAAAATTATTGTCTTACCATCACTTTTTACCTCCACTTTCTGTCTAAAGTGGGGCTAAAAATATTTGGTGGGCTGGAAGAGCAGAGAACCCCTCCCACTTTTCACTCCCTTATACTTTCGTTTAGTACCAAACAATGAAAACATTGTCCTTTCCTTTTTTTTCATTTTTCCTCTCTCACTTTCCTTCCACCTATTTTCCCACCATACCAAACACACTATTAACCTCCTAATTTTATATTGAACAGGTGATAGTCTGGGACTTCTTTGGTCAGTGTGACATATATGAATGTATGAGGCCTGTGGTAGGCACGAGATACCCACATGGACTTCCTTATCTAGATATGTGAAAGGCTCATGGGAATTGATGGAAGACGATGGCTCTTGGGTTTGTTTTTACAAAAACTTTTAAATGGGTTTAATAGACTAGGTTACAGTGTCACCTACGGTGCACACTCGATCAGAGGTTATGCAAAAGTAATTCGTGGAAAAAACAATTTGACTTTTTCTATTACAAAAAAAAAAAATCTAATAAAATAATAAGTGACCGACTGACAGTCATTTATAATACATTAAATTACAACAATTCGCGAGTGCCACGAAATCTAATACGTTAACTTTAGATTCCAAGGGAGCTTGGGGCTGTCAATTTTTGACTCGAACACGAACCCGATTTGAACCGAGCCTGACACGAACTCGAAAATAACACGATTCATTGACACGAAGAATAAATGGGTCAAATTAAATTTCGACACGAATAACATGATTAATGAATACTGTAGATAGAAAATAATTATTAATAAGTATTTTAGATAGAAAATAAGAATTTTATAATTTTTTAAATAATATTATATTAGTCATTGTCAAATTAAATAATTTTTTATTAACACAAATATTGACACAAATTCAACAAGTACCGAGAGTGTTACGACACAAAAATAACACGATAAAAAATAACACGACACGAAATTGATAAAACACAATTGATACCGGAGCTATCCAGATCAGGGGTGTTATGGGGGCGGACCTGTGGAAGGAACAGTACATGAACTGACACACATGGATTGAGTCAAAGCAACTTGAAATTTAATGTGGTGGATTAGCACACGTGTCCATGTGATACATATGCCTGACGTTCACATTCCTTAGCGTGGCAATCGAGACGAACCATTTGATATTATGATTTTATTATTTTTTATTCGTATTTAATGCTGATTAATCTTAGTATAATTTATTTAATTAATTAAATAAGATATTTTGATTAATCTGATTTGTTGTTAATTATGTTGTATTTGAAAATTCAAGATTAACTTTACCTCTTCTCTTACCCAAACCCACTACCCAATTAACCTTTCATTTTGAATATTTACCAAAAGTCCCAACCAATTCCCCAGTTTCATTTATTTAAATCGTGGTTAGCAATCTAACACGTGATTACCATAGATTTATTTTTACGATTTGGTATACTTTTTGTGTTTGTGTTAGGTCTTGTGGTTATCTTTAGTTGTGTATGTTTTGTTTATATTTATTTTTATAACCTGTTGTTGTCCCTTTCTTCACCCGAGAGGGGGGGGGGGGGGGGCTAAGAGTTAGAAGCCAAGTTGGGGCAACCAGAATTTCGACTACTGTGGGTAGAGGTGATAATTTTAACCCATTATTCATTAATCCGTCTAATTCGTCTATATATTAATGGGTTGGATACCTATATTAATTAATATAGGTTCTAAATGAGTTGAGTAATATCATTTATTTTAATTAAATAGGTTAATATGGATTACAAATGGGTACCCATTGAGTTGAATATTTATCTTTTTATGAAATAACACAAGTAATAAAATTAAATAAATATACTAATATATTAAAAAATACATACACTATTACACCAAAAAATACACACATATACACTAATACATCAAAATATATACATATTAGTTCACAAAAAACACACACTAATACACCACTCATGACCCACATGTCGACCCATAACCCGTGGGTCGATCCATAACCCATGGATTGACCCACAACCTCTATGGTTGACCCATAGCCCACAATCACCCCCGACCTATTATTTGTGTATTTTTTTTTATTAAATATATTTTAGTTTTTATGTTAGTATATGTATGTGTATTTTTAGTGTATTAGTGTATATTTTAGTGTGTAAATTTTTAGTGTATTAGTTTGTGTGTGTTTTGGTGTATTAGTGTATGTGTATGTGTATATTTATATTTTGGTGTACTACTAATGTGTTTGTGTGTCTGTGTTTTGATATACTAATGTGTTCATTAAGAATTTTAATTATTTTATGGATTAATCAGTTTAACTCAACCCGTTATAAACTCAACTCATTATTACATAAGTGAAAAATGGATTGAATTTATTTTAGGCCAATCTAATTAAACTCAATCCATAACTAACTCAACCCACCCATTTGCCACCTCTAACTGTGGGGCTAAAATATTCCTAATTCTACATAGTCTTTAGTAGTTCAAATAGAAGGAAAACATAAATTCCTTTTTTTTTTTTTTTGCTATGGGTCATAAGTGACTCTTCACAATTACTGATTCAAATCTCGTAAAAATGTCTTGATTTGTAAATGAATACATACATTTTGAAAATTAAGTTCTTAACTTCTATAAAATAGCTCAAGTGATAATAGAAACGAATTGTAAAATCAGACGTTCTGAACAATTTTTGAATTGTAAAAAAGTCTTGATTTGTAACTAATGACTAGAACGGTTTTGATTGTTAAACAAATGTTCTCCTTTTGATTGGATTCCAAGTGCTATGCTCTAAATCTAGAATAGTCCAACAACGTGAGCCAATTAGTCAAATATTGTTTACCTCACTGCCACTACTTGACTCTTCAATTCGCAAAGAGGCTGATTGGTAAGTGGAATTGATGCGTTTTGGAAGATGGTTTGGAGAAAAATAATCTAAATAATATACAAAACTCATATTTAGTCAAAAATTTGAAACTTGGGTTACCAAGCCTAACCCGTTATTAACCCTGACCTTAAACTCTAGATCATGGATTTTATTAAACCTAAGAGGGAGGTGGGTTTTGGATGAGAGTTAATGGGTTTAAGAAACAAAAAGACAATTATACTCGATACGTATATAAACATGAGTTTGAATTATATTGATGAAAGGACAAAATAATTTTTTAAATACAAATATATTATTATAATAATGATATATCCGTGGATATACTAAATATGGATATGAAATAAATTCAATGTTAAATCTCATTTTTCTAAAAAGATGTTTAAATTTGAAAGAGTTTGGAAAAAATTAATTCAAACCTTTTCAAAAAAAAAATTCATCCAAACAAACCAAAAGAGAGAGGATAACCTAAACTATCTTTGAGATATTCGTTTACCCCTTTTCCCTTTTGGTTTTTTTTTTTTTTTTGGGAGAGAGACGAGGGGGGGGGGGGGGGGGGGCTACCCACCCATCCTACTTTGAAAGTAGCCAAATCTTTGACTATCTCAAACACCCAAAAACTCAAATTTTAAACTTATTAATCCAACCACTAATGATGCAGATTCTTTCCAATACTAGATTTCTTCAATTTTCTCAATTATCAAACATCCCTCTTTGTATTGGTAGAGAAGATACTTGAAGAAAATAGATCTCGATCTCATTTAAATTCAAGGAGATAATATACTAAAATAGTACTGAGAGAATTGAAAGAATCAATATAGTGGAGAGATCCAAAGTCTAACCAACAATAATTACGTGGTGCAAATAAAACTTTTCCAAAAAAAAAAAAAAAGATGACGTATCTCACCTATACAAATATCTGTTAATCAGTAATTTGTCCCAATCACCTAGGTCAAAAGAGTAGTTTTTTTCCAAACAGAGGGGCATAGCTGGTAGATTTTCATACATATCATTACACATGGTTCTGAAATTGATCCATATTAAAAGGAAACTGCCACCCATTATTACCTTCCCATACTCACTCACCATTCATGAACAAATCATGTCCTTCTCTCTCTCTCTCTCTCCATATATAAATAAATGTCAATAAGTTTAGAACTCCTCAGAAGCAAGAGAAATACAGGTGTGAGGTGTGTAAGGTGTGACTTATGCCATGAAGCTCAAGCAAGAAATGGAACAGAAAAAGAACATCACCAACAACAATAGCAAAGAAGATAGGTACCTGGGTGTTGCAATTCACAGCCAAGTGAGAAAGATCAAGCAAGAAATGGAGAGGATCAAACACCCATCGCTGGAGCAGCCAGAGATACGGCCAGTTCTTTGGGAGATCACCAGGCAGAAGCGCTCTCGCTCGCCACTGGGATTAGCTGAAAGAGAAAGACCCATCTCTGTTGCAAACTAATAGAAAAGAAGTATATCTGATAGTAGATAGATGTTCCTGGCCATGGGTCATGGGTGTCTATTTTGAATTAGATAGTTCTTTCTATTCCAAAGTTTTCTTGTTTTTCCTATGTTCTGGGATTCATTTCCAGTTGTACATATTTGATGCACGAGATAGTTAAGAACTTTCTTGAAGGTTCACTACTCTTTCCAGTCCTCTAAATTTTGAGCACTTTTTTTTTTTTTTTGGGTAGTGAGCTCTGGTTCATAACTTCAAATTTTGCAGAAGGATAGAAAGATCAGAGGTTCTTTTACTGGGTTCTTTCCTTTTTCTCTTTTTCAGTGCTCTAATACATGGCTCAGATGAATATCAATCACTGGAGACATCAAAGAATAAGTTCTCTGCCCCTTTTCTTATCTGTTCTCTCCATCCCTGCCTCCACCTCTTCTTCCCAAATCTTCAGTTCCCAACACTGACAGAAAAAGGAAATTCAAACCCATAAAAGAATTGAAATTATGCATTTGGAAGAGAAGAATTCTGTATATTCTTTTGCCATCATATTTTCAGGGAGTATTTATTTTTTATTTTTGTGTATACATCGAATGAATTAATAATATAATGAATAATCAATTATTACAATTTTTGGAATGATTCATCCACAGAGAAGGAAACACCCACAAAAAATGTCCGAAAGAGAGCACAATTGAATCCCCAAGAGCAACAAGGATTACATAAGAAATCAACCTTTACTTGTTATATGGGTTGACCCTTTAACTTCTTAGTCAGCAGAATCGTGAGAGAATTCTTACGGAATAAGCTAAGTTCAGTTTTTTTTTTCAATTAACTTTTGTCAAATGCGAGATTTAACCCATTGATCTCTTAATTGAGAGAATATTAAAAGAATCAAGACTCAAGAGTGACCAACTGGATTATACCCGATTGATTTCATAATTCCATGGATTTGGTTACCAGTTTATAGCTTAAGTATTTTGTTCAGAGACTATCACTTAAGCAAAATATCTTATGGCCTGTCCCATGTATTATTATATATCTCCCTTCAAAAGTAGTCTCCTTGTTTCAATAACTTTCAGCATGTGTCCCTTTGTCATTATCTTCAACATCATCAATTTTCTACCATTTTTTCCCATATCATTTCAGAAAGAAATCCACATATACAGACAACCAATAAGACCAACTCACAAACAACCACAAAAAATGCCAACAATGTCCTAAAAATTGTTCACGTTAAAAACATTTGAAACTACCTGTATGCCACAGTGAAAACAATCGGGTGATTTGTTCATTCATGAGCACATAATATTCATGTAATTCGATCAGATAAGATGACACATTACACTAGTTTTCATTCTGCGAAAGTTACTAACAGAACTAGAAGAACGAAGCAAACATAGTAAGATGACTGACAGAGAGCAAAAATCTTCACATGAAAAGAGTAAGATGTGTGAAACAGAGCAAAAATGCTGATTAAAGTGAGGCAACCATGAAAATACGAATCATATATAGATTGACCCTCCAAACGTGACAATTCAGTACTTAACTTTGAGCAGTGATTGGCTCCTTTGACAAAAGTAACTTTACCCTCCTTGTAAGATCTCTCATCACATCTATAATGACAGACTTCTTTTGGATTCTAAACTGGATAGCCAACTTGGTTGAACCAGAAACATCCTGTTTCAGTAGGGACTCATCCTCCATTATTTTGGAGGGGAAGTGTCCAAGTGCAATCACACACAATGCAATAATGGAGCGAAGCACAGCAACTTCATTTGATCTTCCAAGAGGGGCTTCAACTGATATCAATTTCAGCGTATCCAGATCGTGCTTTTGTACACCTTCCACATCACTTGCAAGAAGTACTCTAATGGCAGCCAACAAACGGCCCTCCACTAACTCTGGACCTCCTAAGCTTACCTTTAATGAGAAACGACATAAAGGAAGTTAGGAAAAAATAGGACAAAAAATAAGTTAAACAAATTTCTGTTAACTCTGAGATGCAATATAAGAATTTTCATGAAGCAACTATTCTCCTGCAAAAGAATTAAGGTGATCAGTTAGACAATCAGGCTTTGAAGGTGAAGTTCATGACAAGCTGTGGCCAAATAGACACTTAGAGCTTCTTGAAAGCATTTGTCAGCTTACAGCTTTTAGGGATACTAAGAAGTATCAGGACATTCTGTCAGTTAGGAATTTTATGCATTTTTTCATTTAAAATACACTGGATTAGGAGTCCAATTTAATGTTTTTGAAAATCTATATGTGAAAGAAAATGTTTTCTATCTAGTTTCCATCACAAGCAGTGGGCCACAAAAACTTCATATCTGGGGAAAAATGTATTTATAACAAGGACATGTGCCTTTGAACTCTCAGAAATATGAATAATACAGGAACAGTAAAGCAAAGAACTAAACCTTGAGAACAGAGCCTTCTCCATCTAAATTTAGCCGAGATAAAATCTGTTGCTGCCACGGAGCTGGTGAAGAGAAGTTGGGGGATGAAACCCCAGCAGCCATGCTCGCAGCATCCAAAAGAGCTGCATCATACTTGAGTTCAATACAGTCATAAGGATTCGATGGTATCACAAACCCATAGTCTAGAAGAAAAAAATCATTATTTAGACAGCCGTAGTTAAGTACTAAAGGATCATCTTGCTTGATCTGTGTCCTTGCAACCACCTGGTGAGCATATAGCAAACACAATAAATAATCTGACATAAGAAGAATGAGTATTGCTTCAGTAGAGAAAAAAGCGAGATCAACACTAAAACCTAATGAATAGCACGCATGTCTGCATGTATCTACCCTGTCATGATAGAGAAGAAAAGAAATACATGCCTTTACTAGCATCTTTGTGTTGACTGTCTCTTGTTCCTGAACAATTTCGGCATTTGGATTAAAGCTATGGTTGCACATATCGATGAGTGGAAGCATCATGGGGACATCCACATGGGTCCCATCTGGACGTTTGCTGCCATACAAACGGAATGCCCGAGATGAGACTGCTGACATTGCCCATCCAAGGGAAGATGCATCTGCATCTTGGCCTCCAAAAGGGTGATCATCATGTTTCAGATTTTCAAGTACACACTTTACTTCTTTCTCAAACTCAAGAAGAAACCGGCATCTCTTGTTTACCTGGTACAACATAATAGCAGCAATCTTTAAACATCCTGTAAAGCAACCAACCTTTCCCTATCCAATTAGGCAGTATAGTTTGCCTTCCAAAAATAATTAGAGCCAAAAAGTGAATTGTCCCCGAATAAGTTTGGTAGATATGAAACAAAGACCCCATGAAAGAAAAACCTTGATGAAGGTTTCTCCTCCATTATTTCCAATACAACTTCAGGAATTTTGTCAATCCTTACATCCACCTGCTGGAACTCTCAATGGTCCAACAGTCCAGTATATCATTAACTTAGGTCAACAGTTCATATACCTGGTGAAGAAGAGGGGCATACTGCAAGTTCTTTATATCCTCCCCAGGAAAGAAAATGGGCACGCTGTAAGTCTCTGGGAGATTGCTGATGTATGGCCACCAGAAGGAACCTTTTTTTGATCTTTCTTGTAGAAGCTTCAAACCCAGTCTCATAGCCCACAGCTCCTCTGCCAAATGCTCGAAGTGACCAGTTTACTCCTTATATTCAAAACTCAATCTAGCCTAATTTATGAGAAAATTGAGTTACCGACCTCTATTGAGAATCGAACGACCTATAGGCTATACAGAGCAGCCAAAAGTTCAAGTAGGAATACCATGTGCTATAGTTTGACTAATATATCTCTCAAAAACAAGCTTAAAAACCATGGCAATTAGATATCATATAGTTCAGATTTATGCAATCCCATGGTACATACTAAGGAAAGGACATGACACCTTACTGAAACAAATGTTGACAACCTTCTGCCAATTAAAAGAAAGCACATGTATTCCATTGAGGCATTTTTAGTAATGCTGCTAAAGCAAGCATAATACATAACAACATTCAGATGGGACTCTAATGGCTTCTCATTCCTTTCACTCGAGGTCTTGGTTCTTGTTTGTTCTTTTCGTTACCTACATATAGAACCTCAATAATCTTGATATTGAAGCAATTGCTCTGAAGAAGTGAAGAAAGTAAACGATTCAGAACAAGGGAAATGCTTAAAAAGTTGAATGGTGTGTTTTTTTTTAACAAGAAACAAAAAAAAATATTAAATAAAAAATGAAAAGTACATTATGAAACCTTAACAAGTTACATGGAAGTGTCTCCTTCCAGGTAATTCAACGGCCGCTGGAATAATTGCTAGGAGTTCCACCTGTGTTACTAATATGACACTAATCTATCAAAAACCACTTTTCCTGACAAGTGACAACTGCAAAAGTCTTTCCTGCAATATAACAGCCGATGACGACCCTTCAAAGCAGAAAGATTGGTTGTTGTTGTATTGATCAGATATAAACACTAAAGAGGTTTCTGTAAGACGAGCAATCACAACAAGATGATATAACATATTTGGAATAGACTCAAAGTGTAAAGCCTAGAAACCATATCGCTAAAGTGTGAATTACATGGAGACAAACATTGTAGTTGACACAACATTGGAGATATTCCATAGGATTAGACTCAGAGTGTAGAGCCTAGAAAGCATATCCCTAAAGTGTTAATTACATGGAGACAAGCATTGTAGTTGAAACAACATTGGAGATATTCCATATGATGTTATAAATTTAATTTAATGTGTTATTTGACTAAAAAATTTGACTTTTCACCTTTCTCTGTAAATTTTAATAAAAATTCTAAAAATGACAGTTCAATCCAAAATTATACGAACTCCAGGTTTTCAAACCATAAAAAGGGTTAGCAGCCCAAATTATAGGGAACTAAAGTAAAATTTGCAGCTCTTGTTGTGCACCTAGGTTAGTAATTATAGCGGTTGCTTCATAAACATCCATGTTACAATTGGAGATCATAGTGATAACACTAGAGGGTAGGGAAATGATGTAAAGAGTTTAATGGATAAGGAACCATAGGAACAAGAATGGAACCAAACCAATAGGAAGAATGGAATATCCTATCTAGGGGATGAGAGTAAGAAACTGCTTAGGCTCCAAATGATTCTACAAAAGCAATCATCACACTTTTTGATCCCTGATTATTTTGCCTTATAACACTTGAGTCTTTACTATCAATTAGCTTGCTCGTGTGGCCTATCCTGTCAGCCTGTGCAATTTTTATTGTTTGCCACTAGGCTTGCCTTATAACACTTGAGTCTTTACTATCAATTAGCTTGCTCGTGTGGCCTATCCTGTCAGCCTGTGCAATGTTTATTGTTTGCCACTAGGCTTGTCTTGTGTCTTGTTCTATAAATTTGTTTAGTGGTAGTAAGATATGTAAACCTAAATACCAAAGAAAGATAGAAAAAGTAGGCAATATTTGCGCTCTGCCAAAATACTCCGGTGCTCCAAAATCACACAGTTTCCGTAGCAAATTAACTGACGAAACTCTTGCATATTCACAAAGCAGTATATCCATCAACAAAATTATCGGATTTAAATTTTTTATATTTTACAAGGTATCTCCTACAGAACCAAAGACAATGACATCCAACTATCCAAGTTATATACAGTGGCACTACAAATACATGTGAAGCAGTTTATCCAAAAGTAAAGATTCAAAAAAACCCATTTCAATACGCATATTTTAAGCTGCTAATAAAATACCCAAATCAAATGTAGGGAATATGCTCGTCACCTACAAACCAAATTATACACAAAACAAGTTTCATTTATGCTACAAACTAACTTATCCAACTCTTCTGTTGTCACCAGTATACATAGTCATTAACAAAATCATCTAAAAACAGCTCTATGTGCTACAATAAAACAAACCCAATCATGTAAAAACAGTTTTAGATTTACAATATCCAAATCATCTAAAATCAGTATTATTTTAACAATAAAACAAACCCAATGCCTATTAATCCACAGTGCATAGTAAAGTGACCAACTTGCAATGTGCTGAAATGCACAATACCCATTAACCATATCATCTCAAACACACGAATTTTCTAATCCAAAATAACTAATTAGAGTGTTATAGAAGAAACTCATACCAGGAACTTGCTGAGCCAGGTTGACCAATACAGAGAAAGCACCATTACCACCCTCTGACTCGAGAGACCCAAACTTCAAAGGTATGTGCTCAGGAAGGGCAATTAGGTCAGACCCTTGAGGAATTTCCTCAGAAGCAACCAATCCAAGACCATGGGGCTCAACCTCAGCTATCTTCACAGACTGGTGCACGAACCCACCTTCTCTTCTGACCCATTTTATCAGGTCAGGTGGGTGTGGCACCAGCCGCGTGGGTAGACAGAAGCGGCGCACGTTAAGGGTCGGACGTGGGTTAGAGAGGTCGCCATTAACATCATCTTGGTGGAACTTGAGCTTATCAATTTCAGCATTTTCTCTGTTCCAAATTGTTTCTAATTTCAGTATAAGAAAGAAAGTGTAAATGTGTAATGGTATCTGGTTACTGTGTAATCTAACCCCAACATTTGTTCCACCCGAAATGCCCATTTTTCTTTTTCTTGACCCGACCCATTAAAGGTTTGGATTGGATTCTTTTAATTTCAAATTTTATTAGCAATAAAGCTATATATCTCAAGTTAGTTTATTAAATATTATGTTTTCAATGATGTTGTGAAATCTTATGTATCGAAGGTTTAGTAGGCGGGAATGAGACTAACTAATTTAACTATTGATATTGATTTGGTATACAAAATTTGATAAGTATTATAATGTAAGACATAGTTGGTCTCATTATTAATTTTTCATATATAGTTAGTTGCCTTTAACGAGCTCCAAAATCTCATTCTAATTTTCTTAAATTTTTACTTTTTAAATTATCAAATTTGATTTGATTTTATGTTAGTGGCTCTTTTTTTTTTATGTTTTGGGTAACTCCAAAGGGTTGTTGATTTTGAGAAAAAACATGAAAATCATCTGCACAAGAAGGGGTCAACCACCCTTGGAAGCATCTCACCTTGAGCCTCATTCTGGTATTGGCACTTTTTGAATAACTTAATTCTTCGTTAATAGGATAACTCCAAATATTTATCAATTGTTGCAAGTTTTTCTCTCATCATCTCTCCCTTTGTCGTCTCTCTCATACACATACACGTACACTATCTATCTCCTCTAAATCTATATTTATTACATATTATAACAATCAATTTTAGAATATATGATATTTATGAAAACTTGGGTTAATTATAATTTATCCCTCCAACTAAGGATATCAATGGACCGAAGCGGGGGTGGGGGTATAGTTTTCATCCTCGTATCCGCTTAAAAAATTTTCGTCATCCCTGGTCCACCTCCGTTAACGGGTATAATTTTCATCCTTATCCCCGTCCACAGGTAAATTTATAATCTTCATCCCCGTCCCCACTTTCTCCGTACCCGCCCAAGCCCAAACTCAAGCATAAGTTCAAGCATAATTAGTTGTTGCTACTTAATCAACTAAACAATACAAATAATCAAACAAAACGAGCAAGCAAAACATCTAGCAATTAAATAGCTCAAGAATACAATTCAGTTAAATACACAATTAAATAGATTAACCAATCGAGTTCATGGATCCAATCAAACACAGTCATGCACAATTAAATGGATGACATTATAGCATATTGAAATATCATAAATAAAGATTAAAAATAGCTGATTTTTTTTTTTTTTGCTATAATCGGAATAGAAGATGTAACAATATAAAAAGTGTGACAAATAATAACTCAAACTAAAGATCTCTAAATCCAATAAACATCCTAATGTTGTAATAAATCCAATGCTCCAACAGCACAAAAGAAACACATCAGGAGCAACATTTGTACCATGAATTGAAGTTAGAAAAAATTAGACTTAGAGAATGCACGTCTATTGTAGCACAAGAAATATATACTTCGGTTTATTCAGCTTGCAATGCCAGATTCATGATAACACACACAACATCAGATAGTATGCCTTATTTTCTTTGCATTCAATTATGTTGAAACAAGAGAAATTATTCTCAGAGATAATTAGCAACAATTTCATGGAAATTGCTTCATCATGATAATTATCTCTATAATTCTATGGAAATTGCTCAATCATAATAACCATCTGTGTGTGTGAGAGACAGAGAGAGGGGGGGCGTTGATTGAGGAAGAGGAGTAAGTTAGGCCTAGGGTTTTAATTGGGAGTTATATATATATATGTATAAGGGGTAATGGGGATGGGGCGGAGATAAGGTTAAGTTCATTCCCGCAGGGATTTATACGAGTGTTCTCGTATAAGTCCACTGTCCAATACGTATAGTCTATTCTCCAGTCCAAACAGGACAAGTTTGGACAAATACCCGTTTTTCCTCGGTCCATTGTCATCCCTACCTCCAATTATATCCAATGTAGCGATCAACTTCCTGTGGTTTCATTTCAAACAATTTACCCCCTTCTTGTATCAAAATTCCAATTAGTAATAGAAACATTGGAATCTTCTGTTTGTGTCGGAGGAAAAAATATTTTTAAGACAATTTTACCCTTGTCTTCCAACGATTAAAAATTTTGCTACTTAAGAGGAATGAAGTTTTTTTTCTCTTTCCCTCATCTCTGCAACCTCTTATACACAACGTCTTTCATTTCTAACCACCTCACTCATATCAATAAAAAAAAATGGCTTCAAGTGAAGCATCAACTCATGGAGAAACTGATAAACTGTGTTATTGCTGATTGAAATGCAAACTCAAGATTTCATCGCACCATTGCCATTCATAGTATAATCAATTGGACCCTTCCCAGATTTCTTTCCAAAATCAAGTGTTTGGCTGCCTTTGGTTATACTTGCAACAGACCTTGTTATCATCCCAACAACCCATTGACCCACATGATTCCCACAAAGAACTTACTTTTCAATAAACAAATACAACAAAAGGTGACAAAAAAAATCTATTATTAATCAATTATAGCAAACAAAACACACACAAATTGCATCGTAACTTAACTATGATGTTGATCACAGCAGCTCAGGACTTGAATTGGGGCTTGTATACATCTTGTAGCTCAATCGACGACTTCAAGCATTTGAAAACTTCAACCATTTCAAGACTTTAAGCATCGCAGAGATTGGTGTAGGGTGGTTTGAGAGAGTGGTTAAATGACTAAGGACAACTTTTATAGCAGGCAAAAATATGGTTAATATTTTGGCATTACCATGGCTAAAGGGTTTTTTGGGAAATTCCTCCTCTATTTGATGACCTTCAGCCCGCTTTTTCATTTTTGATACAAAAAGGTGGCAAATTGCTAGAAATAAAACCACAAGGAATTGATTGCTACATAGGGTATTGTTGGAGGGGGTAAATTGTAATTAACCAATGAAACTTTTCTTCATCAAATACTAGATTTTTTTAAATTTTAAATTATTTAATAACAATGCATTTTTTTTATCCAAATACTAACAATGCATTGATATCATCAAATTAAGTCATTCAGGGTAACTTATATAATTACTCTCAAAGCACTACTTTATTTCAAGTTTCGTAATTTAGCATAGTAACCAAAATTTTTCCAAATATACTAGAGTCGAGGTCAAGGTGGGATGAGGGGGTGGCAATTAGAAGTGGAGGGTGGGGTAGGATTGTGATGGAAGATATTAAAAATTCCGTGTGCATCGCATGGGACATCACTAATAAAAATTAATATAAATGGGTTTTGCTTGAATTCATGATGGCTAATTTATGAAGAAAAATATTCCAAGGGCTCCATACCGAAGTTGTAAAAAATAAAAAAAAATATTATCTGGACCTAATTTGAGAATTTAATCTAAGAACTTAATTCAATACAACTATTGCATTGAAAGTGTGCACTGTGCACTATCTGACATTTGAATTTACAACTAATTTAATGACTAAAATGAATTAGATCCCCAATTTGATTCCCAAATTAGAGTCCTATGGAACTTATACTGTCCAAGGTTGGGAATAACTTTCTCTTAATAAAACAAAATGAAAGTGTACATCCATACAACGGATCTATCAAACAGATAGCAATTTAATATCCAGAAAGGGCATCATCAACATATGTTTAATCCTAGAATTTAACATTAATAATACCTAATATAGAAACTGCCAAATCAAAATACATAAAATATTAAACCATTTTTCATAATCAAACTCCACAATGAAACAAAAAGATACTAATTTTCAAAACATTCCAATTGGGAAAGATCATTCGATCAAATCAAAGTGACAATATATATCTTCTTCTTCTTAAAACCAAATACCTTCTTCTTCTTAAAACCAAATACCGGTATACATCAATACAATATATTGTTCATATTTGAAAACAAATAACTAGTATGGAGACAAATATCAAATCAACTTTATAGCAAATTTAGATCCACAAAAGGCATCATCAACTTATATTCAATCTTGACCCAAAAAAACAGTTTAAAGCACGAAAACGCAAGATGAGACCTTTTTTGGATGATAACATATAGGCCTGACAGTAATTAACTCATCAAATTAACGAGCAGTCAAACAAGATTGGATATAACATTTTTTTCTCAATTTTTTCCTATAATAAATCATATGAAAGTTTGTTCATATATAATGAGTTTTATGTGAATTCATAAGGAGGGATTTTTGTTGACAAAAGGTACATGAAACTTCCAAATATGATAGTTCATGTATACAAAATTTCCAAATAATCCATGTATTCCCATTTGAATCCCTACAAATCATGCACCACACCCTTCAAATTTAAACAGCTACAAATCAAAACTAAAATAATGTAATCATTCATTCGACCGTTTCTTTTTGTGATCCAACAGCATCGAAACGTGAGCCCATCATCATCATAACCTTAAACTCCTCGAAGCTGATCATCCCATCGCCATCCGAATCAACCCCACTGATCATCTTCTTGCACTCAGTCAACGAGCTCTCTTCTCCCAAGCTTTGGAGAACGTTCTGCAACTCCTCCGCTGATATCGTTCCGCTCTTGTCGATATCAAACACCGAGAAAGCGTCCTTTAAATTCTCCAAAACCTCATCGGAATCAATGTCCTTCGTGTTCAGGACGATGAATTCATGCAAATCGATGAACCCATCGCCGTCGGCGTCTACCTCTTTGATCATCTCCAGGAGCTCTTCGTCGGTGGCTGGATTTCCGAGGCTGGCGAAGATGGAACCGAGCTCGAAGGAGGAGATTTTTCCGTCGCCGTTGACGTCGAATTTCTTGAAGACTTGCTCGAGTTCTTCCTCGATCTGGGTACATGATTGGAGAGATGATGACCTTGATGGTATGGGTGTTGGGTTGCATGAGTCTGTTGTGATTGGATTTCGTTGTTTTTTCTTGCGGTTGAAGAGAGATTTCAGACCCATATTGACGATAGGATTGTAAGGATTTTTCCTGGTATGAGAATGAATGGAACAAGGAAAGAGAAAGGTGTAGAAGAGAGAAATTGTGTTATATATAGAAAGAGATTGTGAGATATACAGATATGGTGTGTGTGAGATGTCTGTTGGAGAGAGAGAGAGAGAGAATGATAGTTTTTGGAATGGAGGAGGAGATTAATGGCCTCTAAATGCAATCCACGTACACACCAACATAGGCTACACTACTACTACTAATTATAGCATGAATAGGAAACCCAAAAGATTTTGTCAATCTTATAAAATTAAATAACTTCTTAATTCTCATGCAATATCAATGGGATAATGATGTAACTTGATGAATACAAAGTTGGATTATTTAACTTGAAAATTTTTGAAATTAAGAGGCTATCAGTTTAAAATTTGAATTGTATCATACTTTCAGCATTTTTTTCTATACGTGTTAATATCAACTATTTTAAGTGCACAGTAACTATAATTTCAACAACAAAAAATAGGGAATTATGCTTTCAAATCAGAACAACATTCATACGAATTGTCCGTAACGCCAATATTTATCGTAATTTTTCGTCATTGATGAATTTCTGTTTTTTTTTTATTTAACAGTCATGAATGTCCGAACCGACTTATACATACCTCACTAATCATTAGGACAAGTTTATGTGATTCACATAATTATATTTTTTTTTCTTATTCTCTTTGAACGGCGCTTATTGGTACACTATTCGGGCTCATCCTTGCCATTACCGTACTCAACCTTGACGATGGCCGTGTGTGCGTGTGTGCGCCCGCGCAGGGAGGAGGAGGGGGAGTATCTCCTTAGCAAAAAAGGTAATGACATTGACATCCACAATTTTTTTAGTATATAAATTAATACGTAAATAAACTACTCCACCGAGGAATATATCCCCCAACACTACACAGCCTTTTAGAAAAGTCCCACTGCACCAACATCAAGACCGAAATTCAAGTCTCACCACGTGTGTTCTAAGCATTGAAGAATAGGTATAACTCCACCACAAATTGTCATAATTATAGAAACTCAAACCCAATCATAGAACAAAATGACATCTACATGTCCAGGCCTAGCATTCAACCAGGAGAGCTTATGGGAGATAATTATCAACTCCTAGAAAAAAGAACACCAAAATGGCAAACCTTCAGGACAAAAAATCAAGGGTTCTACTCTATTGGTATATTACCTGATTGATAACATGGGGTATACTCTAGTGAGGATACAAGAGTTCAAATGCCTCCGACAGTAAGTGGACGCTGTTAGACACTTACATCATGATAAATTCCCATAGGGTGTAGAACAATACAAAGGCAAGGACCATCAACGACCAAATTACTACTCTTCCTAACCATAAAATATATTGGAAAAAGGTTTAATACAAACAGTGAAGAAAATAACATAACCCTTTAAAACAACAGTACTGATTGAAAGTTCTCGATTACAGTATTATAAAGAGCTGGTAGATAAGTAGAACTGTAGGAAACAACTCTTTTATCGACGTACCTCATACAACAAGATACCATTAGCCACTAGAGTAGTAAGTTACAAAATAAGAATGAAGCAAAGAGAATTCTCATAATGATAACAAATCAGACTTTTTTTAATTAAAATTTTGATTGCTGTAGCAGAAGAATAGTAAAAAAACAAGCTGCATTTCCTAAATTAAATATCTATCTATAGCCCATATGGTTTTCAATAAAAATAACAGAACCATATGAGCATATCCCGTTTCACAGAGAAAAAGAATAGCTCGGGAGCACCCAAACTGAATTCAAAACCCAATCCCCACCATCCCAACCCTTAGTATGTTTAACAAGACAAAGTACTACGATATACAATTTACAAATTAACCGACCTCATCCAGCACAACAGACATGGATTACTGTGTAATTGGCCTCGACTTAGAGGCAAGAGGCAAAATCGTCATAGTTGCAGCTGTCCAGGACCTCTACGGGACGATCTTGAAGGTGCCCTGCTCATGTCTGGCACAGGCGAAGGTCGCCTGGGTTCTTCTGGTCTTCGTACCTCCTGCATGGACACGAGAAGCAATGAAATCCAAGTGTAATGGAGATAGAAGATTAAACACTGGAACACTAAAAATGTGTGTGCCAGATCAATACTACAAGATTTAAGGAATGACCAACCTATTAGCTTTTTGGAAGAACACAAAGCTAATCAGCTAAAGAACAAAATGTCAGACCCTAAAATGGTTCTATCAATCTTCTTTTGCTTTCTTCCACTCAACTGCTCCAAACAAGCTTAAACTCACAAGAACCACCAAACCACCTCCAAATTTAATGCAAGCATCTAAATAGGCCTTACAGGTTCCAAGCTTCCCAAGTGAACATAGCCCTAATCTTACAGACCAATATGTTGCACATACACCTCAACTTCCAAAATTCAGTTCCACTATTTGTTCCATAAAGATTATGAGAATACGACAAATTCACAATACGGTTTTCATCGGAGAACCTGATGATGAATTAGGAATACAAAAGCTTAGCAAACCTTTGTTGATGAAGTAGAACCGTAGCGTGACTGTGCTTGTGATTTTGAATGCACACGATGCTGCTGCTGAATAAGGTCAAACTGTTGCAGCCTAGAAGCGAAGTTTATTCCATTATGAACACTTCGCGAATCCTCATTCATGTCACCATCATGAGAGATTTGGGATCCACTCTGCATGAAATTAATCTGCGAGTAAGGATTCCCCGATGATGTTTGCTTTAGTTGCTCGCCACTGAAAGAGTATGAAGGTACGGTTTTCAATCGAGTTCGTAGAATCTTAAAAGCTGCACTTTGCTGCATTAAGGGGTAAAATACCAAATAAAATGAGAAATTAAAAATAACATATAAAATAGCTTAAGTTTTTGCGCATTATAAAACAGAAATCAAATCGTGCAAAATTACAAGCCTGAGAAATCAATATCAAAGAAGTCAAAAGGAAAAAAAAAAAAAATTAGGCCTTCAATGAAATAATCAGAAAGATATTATAGTTTATGGTTTAATATAAGATATAGCCCTTGATAGAGCACAATTGATAAATAGGAACATGTAACTGATCCCAAATAATAGAGATAAAGCTTCGGTGAGTTGATGGCCTTGAACTTGAGCTATAAATTTTGAGTAGTCAATGATCTAGATTTCTTTTGGCTCCCCTGAATTTGGGTATTTCACAACAAAAAGATGGGCACAAGAAAGAAAGAGGGAGAGAGAGAGCAAAACTATCAATTAAACGTAGTCCATTAATCTTGATTTAATTTCACAAATTCTAAACAAATAATCCACATAGAACAAACTAAAATTTAAAGGGTTGCCACTTTAACTTGACTATTGCTATCAACAGAACATTATGATTAATACAAGTTCCCTTAATGGATTAGAAAGAGAGCTTTACCCAACAAGGAAAAGGAGTAGAAAGCGGGCAAAGACCAATGCATGCATAAAACAAATGCAGAAACCTGCAATTCCAGGCAAAAAAGTTTCTACATAATCCAAAGTTCCACTTTTATGATTACAAACTCGTGCAGAAAAAAACATTAACAGTTTGCATGTCAACAAATCATGTAATTTGGTTGCAAGTAATTTCATGGAAAAAGGGATCTTATGAATTATGTATCCTAGTGTTGAATAAATTTGAGAGTTCCTAAGATTTAATTTAAAATTTTTCCCAAACACTGATCCACCAATCCGAACTTTCACATTTGGAAGATCATACAATCAGGGAAAAGTTGTAAAAAACTGACACACATCATTTACACAATTCAAAATAGAAACTTTCCATTAGCTTCCTCTAGCATGCACACTTCACAGTTATAAGAATAAAAACACTTCTCTACCGCTTATACATTTCTTCTGGGGGAAAATTTTTTCAGAGATATTTGTTTAGGTGGATCAACCATGTCAAAAGAACACAATTTAAAAAAATTAAAACACAGGCTGAGGATCTAGACAGGAAATAAATTAAAATGGCTTGAGAATGAATCAAGAAAGAGAAACAGAGATCTCATATTTTAACTAAAGGAAAACATATGACTTCTGAGTTGCTTACATGAAACATGGATTTGATAACTCCATAGAATAGGTAAAGCACCTTTAATTGATGGAGTACACGAGTAAATAATAGAGGCATACTGACAGGCACCATTCCCATATTAATTTAGGCATTAAATTCTAACACAAAGGCCTAGACTTGGCTGACCATGCAATTGATCTAAACCCCACAGTATCAATCAGGAAAAGTAATCAAAATAAAAACAAACAAAAAATAATGGGAAAATCTATGACAGGATCATAGACTTTCTGGGTCTAGCATTAATACATAGCATCTGATCTAATGAATGAAAACTCTTGATTTCAAGAGAATGTTTCACCCAAGCCAAGTAGACTCGTGTATTAGAAAAAACCAACTAAGAGTATCATTCCAGACATACCTGGGGAAGCAGCATCAGAAGACCATACAAGGCTTTTAACAACCATATGTATCTACCAGGTTCAAGAAGCTGCAAGAAACACAAAAAAGGGTTGAGGTGTATAAATAAAATAAAAAAGGAGAGAAGAACAGAAAAGGAACCATCATCCCAAATTTGTTAAGTTTGCAGCATGAGGTAGCATACACGATACCATGCACCTGGGTTATGTGAAAAAAATGACTGAAAAATCCAATACGTTAAACCCACCCTGGAATGTCTATTCGGGTACATATCATCAGTCTCTATTATTGACATAGCATCATTCTTTCAACAACATTACCAGCTATCAAAGAAGCGTGAGAAACATTTCTTTTAGGTTATTGGGAGGGGCTTTTCCCACCCCACAAATATCCATCTCCACCCCCATTAAATTTTGTATTATAAAGCTACTAAGTTCACTCCATTTTATAACCACCCCATTAATGACAAACTCACCCCATTGGTGGCTTGTGTTTAATTTATCAATCCGCCCAACTATACATCTCAAATATAACCTGTTCTCACTCCCATATCTTCTCACCTTAAAAAATGGCAGTTATGACGTCATCACTGAAATCAACTGATGCTCATTTGAATCCATGCATTATCCCAACACCAAATCATTTATTAAGTACAGAAAGTCACCACCAATAAGAATTTGTGCGTTGATTGAATATTTCCAAGTATTCATCTTCAGGCTTTTCTTTTCTCTTTTCTATTCCTTTAGTTTTTTCTTTAAAATATGAGTTGATTGTTGAAGCACCAAATAAGTCTAGCACTCATGGGATGGTATCTAATCTGCGAAGGATATCATGAGAATACAGACATACATGTGCCTGCTGTTTAGTTCTTGTTTCTGGGTGGGGGGCAATAGCTGCATTGCAGAATTGGTCTGAAGCGGTCCAATTTTCTCATTAAGAAATCCGGAAATTAGGGTTTGGAGTTTTTCTTTTCCAATTTGAGTTTGATTTCCATGGATGTGTCTATATTAAAGTCCTTAATTATATATATAAAAAGAGAAAAAGGGTTAAAATAGTAGTGTTGGATGACTAATTTATGGGTGTAGATTGTAGTGGGAATAGTCCCAGCCTAGGTTATTTCATTATGAATCAAACCAATAAGCAATAATCCAGACATGTCAATTGAGTTAGTCAGGGGAATCCTATGAGAAGTATGGTTGGAAATCAGAAGGTTGAGCCAAAAAGTAGGTTCCTCAAGCCCAGCAAGAAAGATGAACAAGTTTTAAACTGAAGACTGGACCTCATTCATCTCATCAACAAACTCAAGAAGCAACCACATGACTCGATCGCAACTTGAGCTCGAGAAGCTTGACCATTTAAATAGTCCAATAAGTTGAAGAGCTCATAAATCTGAGACCGAGCCAAATTCCAAAAAAAATCTTAGTTTCAGAGCTTAACAGTCATCAAATCCAATAGAACTAGGAATATAAATGACCATTCTCCATTTTATACAGCTACACATTAAGATATTTCCAACTAATCCAGTTTAACTCAAAAATGCAGTTATGCAAAGGTAAGTTGAGCACTATAAAAACAATGCGCTATAAAAAAAAAGTATGAAAACAATGAATTTTGATTTGTAGAGATCAGACGAAAATCAAGGAACTTAATATTAGATAAATTATACAAAAAATATATGCCATCAAGAACTTCTCCCAGTAAAAACACAACCAGCACATCAACACAAAGATCAACATAGCAAGACGAATTTAAGAAATCTGACACAAAAATGAGAATAAGCAAATGCACCTGCAACCTAAGATAAACAAAGATTGGTGTCTCAAGTAGGTGGACCAATTTGTCAAGCTGGACCAAGAATTTGACATTAATATCTACCTCAACCAGAGATTGAATGACAGAACTGGCATGTTGGTAAGTCTGTAAAGCAACACCAACAAAATGCAACAAAACCATGAGGACTGCACAAATCACCATAAAGAGTTATCATCACAAGAAGATGGGGAGGAAAGGGTGCGGATGGAAGCAAGATAGAGATACAGAAATGAAATGCTGCCAGAAAATTCAGGATTCTTGCCTGAGCTAATAAGCAAAGACTTATTATTGCCATTGGCGAATGGCACCATGAAGCATACAAAGAGAGAAATAAGTCCTTCCCAGCAGCATTGACAAGTGATTGTTTTAAAAGATCTCGAAGATCAGACAACTCGGAAGAAGTAAGCAAAATCAAATTCAAAGCCTGAAACAGAAAAGTGAACATTAATGGTAGGTAGCCTATTATAACATGTCTCAAAGAGGTATGTCAAGCATAGTTATGGAAAATTCTAGAGTTAGTATTATTACATTCAAGATACATGTGCATTCAAATAAATCAACATTTTTGCGTGATGATTTTCATGTAGATGACAAAACCTGGACCATAACAGAAGCAAAATCCAGGTCAGATTCCCCCTCAAGTATTGTAGAGAGTTCTCGGTAAACTCTTTCAGCATCTAAAAGTACACAAAGTCGACGTACTATCAAAGCACCACGCCTAAGAGAAGAAAAATAAGAGAATGATTAGTCTAATAAATTAACGAATGAAAATTAAACCAGAACAATTGAAACAGCTACTTAAACTACTGGCATAAAAAAACCCACTTCTCTAGGAGCGAGTTGTTGACCCGAAAGTTATGAACTAAGTAAACAAGAAGCTGGCGAAAGTGCTGTGGATCTTTGGCAATGCATGCATGCACCTCAAGCACCAGCAGCACTACCTGGGAAAAATTCAGAACAACAAATTGCATAGGTAAAAGGGAATATAATTTCCTTATGTCAGACTGGGTTTATTTTTGGCAGGAATGCAATCACATTACAAAATGTAATAATTTCCACAGATTGTTAAGTAACAAGTAAAAATATTTGTGTTAGAGTCGTACTTCCAATGCTCAAGTGAAGTTATGCATTTAAAAACATTGTAAAGCCAGCTAAAATCTCAGCAGCACAGACTTAATAGAAGGGTTGTAATCCACAAAAAGAGACCGCATCACATCAAACTTTACTCGGACAAAGAAACCCATAGATAATGGAATAATATTTAAGAAGTCAAGGGCTAGAAGGGTGAGCTGAAGACAATTGCTATAATCTACCAAAGCCTATAGGATTCCACAAGGAAGAAGACCTTACCGTTAGCATTGCTTTTCTCAAGAGACAAGTCCCTTTTTATCATTCATTAAATTTTAAACGTTCATATTTCTTTTTATGTGTCGTTTTTATTTTTGTTGGGTTTGGGGGAGGGGGGGCTAGGAGAAGTTGTGTTGTTTTCTTGTTTTCTCCCCTTGCAAATATGAGAAAAGAAACACAGATACATTTATAACACAAGTAATATAGGGCATTAACTGTGTTCCAAACAGGACAACAGCCCCCTTTAGGTCTGGCATTAGATACAACTGAAGCTTACAGCCAATGATCTGATGAAATGGCCTATGCATAACAAAAAAAAATGACCACATTGGTTTTTGCCATCTGTACAAGTGTTAAACATACAATTTAGAATGCAACCATATTATGCGGTTTTGAGAACGGATTTACATTCTGTAAGCAAATTTGGATAGTTAAAGTGTGAACCATATTTCATTACACCACTAGGCACTACGAGCTCTGATGCCAAAGACAAAGGCAAAAAACATGCCGTCTTGATATTATCACGATAGAAGTCCAACTGCCAATATGATTAAATATTCACTCGCTTCCTTTAAGCAACACCATTCATCTTCCTAGCAGACTATAACCTGTAACATTAATATGCAAACTTCCATATCCAACCGACAATTAATTACATAACAAAGGATCTTACCGCAAAAAATTATATAAAAAGGGAGGACAAAAAATATTCAGTTCCATGAACCCTTTAGGACCATCAAGCTATTCTAGGAAGTGTGAAAATTTCACTGAAAACTGAACTCAAAACGATAAAGCTAGGACCAAAACCTAAGGATTTCATCAATTATCAGGCAGACAAAAAGCTAAGCCTAAATCAAGACCCTTGACTGAAAACCCTAATCATATTTCATTACTGACTTCTCTAAACAATAAATAGTCACTTATCGATGAGTCAGTCATGCTAGCTAAGCACTCCACAAGCTATCTAACTTGGAATTACATATTCAAGCCTTAAATCGAGAACTGAGTACAAAAAACCAACCTATTACATTATTCCCCACAGAGTAAAGGACAATGGACGTGTATCAACTTAATACAAACATGCAACATCATTTTCCAAATGAGAAAATAATTCACAAGCTAAAAGAGAGTTGATAAGGGTGGCTGTAGCAAAATATAATAATACAATATTTCCTGAAAGACAAAATATTTCTACCAGACAAATAACCCAACGTATGTGTGTGTGTATATATATATATATATATATATATATGTTTGAAGTGAGGGAGCAGCGCCTATACAAGTTAACATAGGTTTGTGGGTATTTAAATATATCAGCAAAAAACATCCAGAATCAAGAGAACATCATCATTGGTCAATAGTAAGCCATTGAACTTTTTGAGCTTATCAAGGGACACGCCTACAATCTCTGCTTTCCAAAAATACAATGTCATTAAAGGTCATTGCATAGTGTGGACGTGAAATTATCAGGCTACTGAGGGCGGTCACTTTGTGTAAATAATGTCAAAAGTTACATCCCCTCCTAACACTTCCTGTCAACTGGAATCAAAATGGAGCATTAGCTTTCAACAAATATCATTTTTTGTATTTTTAGGAAAATCATAAGAAGACTCAGCTAGACTTGCAAATCAGCAAACAGCAAGATAAAGAAACAGGAAAAGAAGATTACCTCATCAGATAGATCTGATAGTGCCTTCAGAAGAGTGTCAAAAATATCATTCAGAAAAGACAGAACCTGTTTCAAGTATAAAAATGAGATGCAAACTTTTCCTTGTCACAACGAAGTCCCACCCACAATTTGAAAACAAATTGAGGAAACACAACAAAGTCAAATACCAAACAAATGTTCACAGTGAATTTTTTTTTTTTTTTGGCAAATAGTTCTTTATGAATGAGAAATAACATTATTAAGAATACAGAAATATCCACCCAAAGATATAACATCCTGTTTCAGGGGAAACTAGAAGCAGTGGCATGAAGCTATAGCAACTACACTGCAGAAATAAAAGATTCTACTTTTTGGTCAAAGAACTTCGGCTTCCAATTTGTTACAAAAAGTGTCATACCAAAAGGTCAGGCAAACAAGGAACAACATTCTTATCAAAGAAGTATAGAACATAAACCTGTTTTGACAATTCAAGGAAATAAAATAGAACTATAACATAACAAGAAGAAACACCATGGGAATCTAATAACAACATACAAGCATGCAACAGAAGGGTTTGGATTGGGACGAATGACAAACAAGTGAACACACTCTTCGGTTAAGCACTTGACATTTAACTTAAAAGAGGCCTTAGCAGCTTAGAGAGAGAGAGAGAGAGAGAGAATATAAATGCCCATATATCAAGTCTCAGTTGGTGGCCAACAAAAATTGTACGTCAGTAATAAAGCTATTAAAAGGGAAATGAAAGTATCCAGCCACGAATACTACTGGTGTAGATTTCATCTTCCTTCTAGATGAAGGGAAAGGAGAAAGTATTATTTTCACTTACTCTTTACGCATATTTCTGTATATATATTATATATTGTTCTTTATGTATATTTCTGTATATAAATTGTAGGGTTAATTGCAAGTTGCACCCTGAAAGATAGTTGGAATCTCAATTTGCACCCTCAAAGATAGAAATTTGTATCAATGTGCACCCCCAAAGATAAAAATCTCAATTTGCTCCCTCAGATAAAAATTTGTATTAATGTGCACCTAAAACTAAATTGATAAATTATATCTAGATTCCCTCATATTTGTCACTTAATCATTTGAACCCCTTCACATTTAGAATACTTTATTTTGTAGGTTCAATATACTCTAAAATTCAAAATCAAGTTTACCAATGGACATTATAATTTTTTATTAGGATAAAATTATATTTTTTAACGATTATATTAACAGATATCAATGAAAGGGGGTTACGTGTTACACGTGCACAAACGTCATGAGATGTAGGAGTAATATTCTAAATGTGAAGGGGTCCAAATGATTAAGTGACAAGCATGAGGGGATTTAGGTACAATTTATCAATTTAATTTTAGGTGTACATTGATACAAATTTCTATTTTTGAAGGTGCAAATTGAGATTTTTATCTTTGGGGGTGTACATTGATACAAATTTCTATCTTTGAGGGTGCAAATTGAGATTTTTGATCTTTGGGAGTGCAAATTGAGATTCTCACTATCTTTCGGGGTGTAACTTGCAATTAACTCTAAATTGTATATTGTATGTAACCACAATTGATCAATTGTTTAATTAAATTTACAATTTCCCATAGAGTATATCAGCCAGATCAGATTCTGTCTTTTCTTCCTCAAAACAAGAAAAATGAAATATGACCAAGAAAATAACAATGAAAAGCGCCCATAGTCTATGACTATAGTATAAGTCTTTTAAACCTTTGGCGCAGACCTAAACTTTGGTATAACTTGCACACGTTTTTGCCCTCAACGTCTAACCACCAAACTTCGCAATTGTTAGCCTGATCACACTATTCATTAAGCAAAGGATGCTTTTCATTACATTTTTTTTTTTTTTGATATTTCATTCCCATCCACCCTTCCTAGCACCCTTGTTCACAGGACTTAACTGGAAAATGATTTTGTTTTCCATATTTTGAAAGTATTCTCAATGAATGGAACGCAAAAAGCTTCTTGTGTAGTTTGCTTGACAAAGGCATAAGGAAGTTGATTGCTGCCTTTTTATTGTCCATTTACCCAGCCTATGTGAGAAGAGTTGCTTACTTTAGCAAAGATCAACAAGACAATCCCATTCCCATACTCCAACTATAGGTAGTAGGTACATCAGGAGAACCTTGACTGGCAGGGTTATGGGAATGTCCTACCACAAGGCCATTCCTTCATTTCTACAAATTTGAGCCAATAATGCACAACCTTGTTCCTGTGAAAAAGAGAAAGATTCTATATTCACACGTGGTGGCATACCTTGCAAATAGGTGAACTACAAAAGAAGTAAGGACGAGAACAACTTGGCTTAAAAAGGGCTTTCCAACGCACAGACCTTATCATACATCCTATCTGCCCAATTATTCAGCTAATAGAAAATAATGTTTATTTTGTCTTGTTTTTTAAATTTTCTCATCCTTTTTCTTTCTCTCCATTTGTTCAATATTCTGTCTTTTTGGTTGTGTATTAATCAAATCCGTCTTTGTTTTAGTTGTTCTAGCTTTAGCACGAATTTCCTAACCTCTTTTCACTTTTCACCTAAGCAGTTGTGGCAAGTGGCAACCTTCACAAAGAGAACATAATATAAAGAACAGGCTCAATGAATTTTACAGAAGTTTAAAGGAGGTTTGCACAAATCCAAGGCAAACATAAACCCAAAGAGGAAAAAACATATCACATTGAAGGATTACAAGATATAAAGCCAGAGAATAGGAAAAAGAAGAAATAACTAGTATGCAATTCAGCCTCTCCCAACCAACATGAAAACAATGACTACTATTATCAAATTAAGTAAGAGTAACAATTCAGTTGACTAGTAGTGCCAAAATGTAAAAATAATGCTGTCTTCAGGACCGCTAGAGATCATTCCACATGTAGACAAGGCAGAAGAGTGTGCATATATTAGGCAAGCAAATGATCTAGTATTCCACATTACCTCTGCACGATGTCTGTCTAAAAGAGTTGAAATCCAATGCAATGCTTCTATTCGAGTAGCATCCCATTCACTAGACAACTCCCTGATAAATATTGACCAAAACCAAAATTAACCACAAGCTTTCCAATTTATGGATCACACATCCTGCCAGTATAGGCAGTTATTATTGAACTATAAAATATAGTAGCGTCTTTTCTTTTTCTCTTTAGGAGGCAAAAAGCTATTTTAACCCCTATAACATTATAAGTAACAGTTGAACCTAGCATTTAGTCCTAGGTTAAAAAAACTACACCTCCTTGCAATAGAGAGAATTGCTCCAATATCAAATCCTTCTGCTGGATCAGCCTTGATTGCACGCAGTTCTTCATTTGTTTCGCGAGCAACCTAAGAATTGTTAGTAGAAAACTAACATTAAGAACACACGTGTACAACACACAAAAGCAATTTACAAGAGCAAGGGGTCAGGGCAGCAAGAGGGTGGGAAGAAAAAGAGAAACGGCAAGGGGAAAAATGAAGATATAGATTGCCTATGAAATGATGAGAAAAGAGCACATAAACTTACAACTCTTATTTTCTCTTCTTTATCAGATATGCAAGGCAAAATAGCACCAAAAATATCGGCATAATAAGGAACAAGCTGATCTCCTCCAAGTTTTACAAACTCATTTATCTGCATGGTAAAGTAGCTTATTGAAACTGATTTGATCAAGTTTAACCACATTAGTAAGCTAACCAGAGTAAATCAAATGCATACAATAATGTGCAAGGGTATATTTACTTCAACAAAAATCTATTATTAAAAAATTCATAAACTTCTGAATTTATGTGCAGATGCCCTTACCCATGTAATAGCAGTTAACCGAGTAAACTCATCAGGTGAAGCTGCCCTTTGTACCAGGATCTCGGCCATACGACCATAATCTACAGACTTCAGCAATGCTCAAGTCAGAAAATTATTAATGAACAAAAAACTTTGCTGTAAAAAAATTGCGAAACCCTAGATACATTATCAATGCTATTTTTTTCATTCAACGTGTCCAGCATCAAATACCACAAGAGATGGCAAAAAAGTTACTAATGCCTGTTGCATGCCTTCCAAGGCGACCAAAAAGACAGTACATAACCACCGATATCAGAATAAGGTTTTCAGATTCCATAACAACAGAAGTCTTACTGGAGAATTCTTGATCTCTTGAAGAAACTCTGAAAGGGCTGAATCAGCTTGTTGCCTTATTTCATGGCTAGAGTCACTTAACATATTAAACAAACCTGAAAGTTCATACATGATGTCGATCATATGTTATTGCAACTAGAACAATCTGCATAAGTAGGAGCATATCAACTTTTTAGATAAAACAATTTACCATCAAGAAAATCGGGAAGAAAACCCAACATATCAATATCCGGCACACTGTCTAACACAGTGATCCATCCTACCAGAAATTGGCGGACGTAAGGATTCAGGACATTCATGCGCTCTCTTAACAATGGTATAAATTCTTCAATGCTGCAGAACAAATTTGAAACAAGAAACCTTTACATAAACTATTCGCTGACCACTTACTTTAAAGTTCTAAATTCTGGTCCCCCAGTAAGCAGATGACAGTTTGAACTAGAACAAGAAGATAACGCACCTGAACTGATCACTATCTGTGACAATGTCCTGTTTTGCACAGCAGTTAAAACGTATTGTTAATACTTGACATTCACGTGAATAAAGATACAATAGGAACAAGCCTAGATGAGTGGAGCAAATTTAATTGTTCACCTTTACAAGTCTGTCTAAAAGATGTGCAGCACTCTGTACATTGGGATCTGAATCTGCTGAGAGCTTACAGAGAGCATCAAAGATTTGATTAAAGAAAACGATAAAATCTCCTCGCACAACCTGCAAATAAGCAAGAGATCAAATTCTTATGCATATAGGGAAACAAGTCTTATTATACAAGTCCACAATTTGTCCTCACCTTTGCAATGTTATACAGAGCCTCACAAGCATAATAGCGGACTCTGCCATCTAGGTCAGAAAAAGAATTTAGCACTGGTGGTACTATTTGCTGGCAGAATCCATCAAAGGAAGGGTGAGAAAAGGAAATAAGAAAAGAAAAAGAAATGGTAGAATACAATATAACACCATAACAAGTTAAAAAAGAGGAAACTCTTCAGCAAACCATAAATTTCAAAATACACTACAGCAAAATTCAAGATCCTGAAATGTGCAATTGATAATCCTATCCCTAAGTAAATGGTTTAGCACCTTTTTGAAGTATGCAATGATCTAACGAACATTAAATGGCATAAGAATTATCAAAACGACTTTAGCAACAAGAAACAAAAACTCATTATAAACAAACTATTAGATGGCTGTGCATTCACTCACCTTGTTATTACCAAAATAATGTCAGTCACAAGCTTTACAAGATCATCAAAAACTTATGAAGTTTAGTATAAAATTTGAAGATACTTTCAATCCTCCATTTCACCAAAAGATAATAACAAATACATCAACTAGAGGTGATTAATGAACCAAGATTTAAATGTTTCTGACAATAGGATCAACTGACCAACTCTGGCCCCCACAAGATCAGATGGCTACGATAGTTAAGCTTGCATGACCAGTGACATAAGGAGTAGTGCAGATTTATGATGAGATATTGCTGAAAGCCATATCTTATGTAAGTTTTCAGTAGTAGAACAGGAGTATAAAATTAATTGACGTTGACATTGAAAAGTTTGGTACATATAGGAAGAAAACTTAAGGTTCAATTGTCTTCTCCTTTATTACGTCTCTCGTCTATCTGGGGTAGCAATTTTTGTAACAACTCACTAACAGGAATCCAATACAACAATAAAGGATTTAAGAATTATCCTTAGATCATTTATGGGTCACAACTATGGAGCAATACATTATACTTGTTTCTTTTATTTGTCTCAACTTTAAGAGCCAACTCAAAACTGTTCCACCTGTGTTGAGTCACCATCAATGACCCAAACCCGTTCAAACTGTTGACAAAAGTGGCATTTTCTAATATGTGAGCTAAATAAGGGAATAAAATAGTTGGCGGAAACTAAAGAAATCCTGACGACTAGAGTTTGAACAGCATGCTTCAGGTCTAGCAACCAAGACTGCTGTACTCTTTCTCTCACTATTCATTAGATTCAAGGATCTATTTCCTTAGAATGCTCTCAATATTCCCAATATGCAATCTAAATTCAAAGACAACAAAAATGAATGGCCTTCTCTTCTCTAACATTATTCGATTTGCAGATTCTGTATGTCCCATTCAGATACAAATTGTTTTCTATTTTTCTCAACACTATTCTCAATTTTTATATCTATGTTGTGTTTTTCTCTTACTTCAAATGGATCAAAGCCAATATTTTTGCATAGTCGATTTTAGTAAGCTCTAATTGTAAAAAATGCAGTAGGGAAATGATTGTAGTTGCTGGATTCTCTCTCTCTCTCTCTCTCTCTCTCTCTCTCTCTCTCTCTCTCTCTCTTATGTTTTCCCCCTTCTTTCAATTAGTTGAGATTCAGAATCTGAAATTTCACCTCTACCATTAGTGGGTTAGCTAGAGCATTTATAAAGCGACCCAAATAGGCATCACTCACTGGTATCTTAGCAGCTTATGCTGTTGTATTTAGAGAAATTTCTCTTGGATCATCAAACCATCACCCATTAATACAACATTATTTGATTCCAAATTTAGAGCAACGCCTATGGTACCCTTTCCAAATTCTATTAATCCACCCTCCATTACTTCATCAAGACCATGAATACGGGCAACTCCATCACCTACTTAAAGTAAGGTACCAATATGTACAATCTTTAAATGTTTAGCAGTAAGGAACCAAAGAAAAGAAGAATACTTCATGTATCATAAATTAATGTTTTCTCCATGTTCATGTCAAGTCTTGAACATATGGCAGCATTGATCTAGTACTATGTGATATTTTTATTATATCCTCTGTTAAGATATGGAAATCGGCGCTAAAGTTTGCAACATCATTGAGGCATCAGGAAATCAAGTTATAAATTAACACATTACTAAAAGTTGGTATTTGCATGAGGCTAGCAGTTCTGCCACTCAATGAGGTAATCTTACTGACCCAACCCGAGTAACCTATTCATTATACAGGGTACATAATCACAATGCGTCACCCATACTATAATGCAATGTTAAAGTTCAAGATACTGAAAACAATGAATTATGTTCATGTTGGTATATAAACCAACTCTCTCGTAACATCATGAAATTAACCCAAGACTACCGGGGTTGATTTATCAATTCACTCTCTCCCTCAAAAAGAGGAAACCTCTTTTTTTTACACTCTTTATACTAATTATATCTTTCTATAAATTGCAAAAAACAAACTGTTTACTTCCTTATTTTCTGCCCTTTTTCCAATTTTCTATCTGAGCACTAAATACACAAAATCAATTACACACACCAATATTCCTTCAAATAGGAGAGCAAGTAAAATTTTATGAGTCCATTATGATCATTCATGGATTTCACTGTTGCTTTGCTTATAATTACGATTTGGGCGTCTAATTAGCATGTAGTACTCACCATTTCCATGTGAATTATTATCCAAAATTTAAACTTCAAAACTCCGCCAACCCAAAAAAAGTCTCATATTTTGCATTTGATCCTATCAGTCATAAAGCTCTATTACCTCAAGATGCTGAGCTGCTTCTGAAGTCAACCCAACGGTAGCCGCAGCCAATCCTATCAATCCTCCCTATCCAAAGTCGCAGAAAAAAAATCACAATCCAATATCTCAACACAACAAAAAGCACCACCAAAATCACCACATTCATACTATACATAACATCAAAAGCGCCCTTGTTGTCTCTCACCTTCCGGTGATTGGCCTGCGGTGAAAACGTGAACTCGTTAGTTAGCAAATTGATCACCGCCGTAATCTTATCATGATCTCCGGCCACCGTCAGTTGCTTCACAATATTCTCAACCTATATACATAACAATCCCCAAAATCAAGATCCAAACAAAAGAAATATCCCTACAAAACAAAGCAAAATTCAAAATTGAACAATTAGAGATGGAGAAAGAGAGTGACCTCGAGAGCAGCATTTTTCCTCTTCTCATAAAGCTTATCGGAGAGATTTCGCACAACGGAAGCAGGAATCACAGAAAGCCCGTCGGCCATAGGGAAAGCAACAACCATAGAATTCTCTTTCCGTCAATTTTCCCCCCAAACAATCAAAGAAGCCTGCGTTTTCTGATCTTCTCTTTCACAAATCGAAACATATTCACCACTATTATATATAGATATGGAAACAGATAAGAGAAATATATAAAAGGAAAATTAATTCCCTTTGCGAATTTTCGAATCGACAAGTTCGAAGAGAATCGGTACAGGTACAGATCTAACTGGAATAGGAAAAATTAAGAGAATCGAGTGTAATTGCTTGATAGGAACCGAAATTCTCAAGGGAAAATGGAAAGATTTTATTCGTTCTGTTTGTTTTTCTCTCTTTGGGAGTGTTTGGCTATTGGTTAAGCCGCCGCGATGCGTATAACGATCAGATGGCCCTCGGCCACCCTGTCTGTCAGTTCCTGTGCTGGTGCCCGTAATCTTTGGTTTGGGGGAGATGATTACAGAGATTGTCCACTGTGGTGTTCACACGAAACGACGTAAATAACCCATTTTGCATTCGTATTTACTGTTTAAGAGAATTATAAGCATGCCTTTAAAATTTATCACTTAATTACTCAGATCCCTTAATATTTAAAATATTACACATAAATCTTTTAAAATTTATGCGCATATAATACTTAGATCTTTATTATAAATATATATATTAATAAATTATACTTAAACTCCCCTAAAATTTGTATGTATATAATATTTAAAACTTTTAAGTTTAAAATATTATACTTAGACCAAAAAATACTCCAATCAAATATCAAATATTTTAAATTTTATAATTAAAATTCATGTTATATTGTATTATTTATTGAAATAAATTAAAAATAAAAATTTAATTTTTTTTTAAAAAAATCGTAATTAGTATACAATTATAATATCTATTGGAATAAAACTAAAAAATCAAACAATGGGTCTAAGTCATTCATAATAGAAGATGAATTTTACATCCAAAATTCATGTTCTATTATGTCATTTATTGAAATAAATTAAAAATAAAAATTTATTTTAAAAAAAAAAAACATAGTATATATTTATACTGTCTATTAGAATAAAACTAAAAAAATTAAACAATGAATCAAATTGTAATTGACACAATATCTTTTAGATTTAATTGGGATAATTTGGTATTTTAATTTGATCGTTTAAACGACTAAATTAAATTTTAATAGACAATATAATTATATATTAATTATAATTTTTTTTAAAAAATTAAATTTTTATTTTTGATTTTATTTCAATAAATGATACAATAGAACATGAATTTTGGTTGTAAAATTTAAAATCTTTTATATTTGATTGGAGTATTTTTTGTCTAAATATAATATTTTAAACTTAAAGAGTTTAAGTATTATATACTCACAAATTTCAAAGAGTTTAAGTGTAATTTATTAACTAATATATTTATAACAAGGGTCTAAGTGTTATGCACATACAAATTTTAGAGGTTTATATATAATATTTTAAATATCAGGGGTCTAAGTGTTTAAGTTACAAATCTCAAGGGATCTGAATGTGATTCTCAAAAATTTATGTTATACCCAATTTTCCATATGTTTTTATTTTGTTATTGTTTCCTTTATTTTCCATATTTCTATTTTGGGCATACTTCAATTCACCGCTCCCGATATCCAATAAACATATAATATTCCTAACATTTAACCACATTCACATAACCCACACATAGTTTGTCAAGTAAGCTGCTGTCACATGGATTAAATTACACTCGAATTCTTTCCTTATGATGGCACTGAAATCCTATACTTAATGCCAGTCAAAAACACATCATACACTCACTGAAACAATATATCAAATAGGTAATGAGCAAGAATCAAACACACAACAAACAAACAAGATTACAGACCAAAATGACTCAACCATTTACTTATCACGTACAAGGGATTTTCGACTAAGAATCTGCTTACAAAATGTGCTAAAACTCTAGTGGGTTACTGGAGACTCTAACAATATGCATGTAAAGCTATACATGACGATTATTGGCCTCCCCAACTGCTAGGTTTACTAGCACCCATCAGATACGCCTTCGAGTTCGAGGACTATGGGGTGGTCTGCCAAACCCCCATAATCTGCTGAACATGTCTGGATCAGTTGTGCTTCATAATCACCACCTGACTCAGTGAACAACTACTCGTAACAACCCTATATGATGTGCACATACCAGCATCTGTTAGAACTGTCCCACCGGATGTGCACATGCCATCAGCTACTCATAAACGCTTCTCATAATGCGCACATGTCATCATTATCAACCTACGACACCTGATTTCCCTTGCCAGCATGTCAAGCCCTTCTCAACCCATAACTTGGTCTTCTAAGCTTGCAATACACCACAATTGGAGCACACATGGCTACGCCTTAATAGCTTGCTTGTGCCCACGTGCCCATGCATGTATTGTCTCCCTCAGCCATGAATAGAGTCTCCACTAATGATAGGTCCCACCAATCATCATCCCCTCATATCTTGGGTCTCAAACTTTTGCATGCTTTAGGGGGCACAAGGGTTATTAGTCAAGCACCCCTTCGCAGAGCACCCCCTTTATAATAGCATTAGGAACAATTTCCCTAGTGGCAACGACAGACATCATCTGAATCAAGAAGTCATAATGACGAAAGCCAGGGGCATAATACTTGCATATCACCTAGAACTTTTGTCGAACACCATAGCTACCAATCCAAATATACGACTAAGTCCTTAGGAAACCATCTTACATAAAGGGAGTACTTAGCCAAGCACACCCTCACCTTGGCTAAAGCATGAGGCATCATTGAGCGAGGCACCCACATGTCATAGATGTGCCAACGAGCTAAAGGCATAACAAACCACCCCCACAAGACGAACTCGACATCCTCTTCGAGAAGTTGTCTTAATACTCCTTGATTTATTTTTCAAACTATCAAAGAATAACATCTCTTTAACAACTTGTTTCTGCCTCGATGTTACCTTTTCAATGCTACCTTTTCAATGAATAAGAAAATCAGACATGTGTTTCTTATTACTTTGACACATGGTCCTGTGAGATGGACTATTCTTGACCTCCCTATTAATTTGTTTCCTGATCATCAATGGAGCCCTCCTGGCTTGTCTCTAACCAGCATCCAACAAATCTTCATGATAAGGCTTGTCTAAGTGATCTTCCAATGACTCACTATAAACTACAATGACATCTAAGTAAATGACCACAAACGCATCAATGTAATCATAAAGAGACATTATTCATTAAATTGCAAAAAATAGCCAAGGCATTTGTGAGTCCAAATAGCATTACAAGACATTCAAAGGAACCACAATGAGTTACACAAGTAGTTTTAGATTCATCTCATTCTGCAATTCTAATTACTTGCCAATACACAATCCTCAAGTCCAGCTTTGTGTAGAAAGTTGCTTTGGAGAGTCTATTGAATAGATCAACAACAATCAAAACATAGTACTTTTTCTTGATAGTCACTTTGTTTAGAGCTCGATAGTCAATACACATCCTCAGTGAAACATCGTGTTTCTTTTGCAACAATACTAGGGGCTCGAATGGCGCCTTAGAGGGTTTCATGTTGCCAAAATCTAACAACTTGTTTAATTGATTCCTCAATTTTGCCAACTCCATGGGTGACATCCCTCAACCCTCATAAACGAAAATCCTTATGAAGGTGGAATTCCATCTCAAGTCTTTAATAAGATTAATTAAGAGACTTCACTAGTTAGGCTACATAAGACCACTCTTGAGTAACCACATTAATTAAGGTATGTACCTCGAGGTTTTGTTTCAAGTAGATTTATTAGTCTTTAATTGACTTTATTGACCTGTCCGTCGATTTTAGTCTCCAAATTTTAAATCTCTTAAAAAACCATTTGAAACCAAAATTTTCAGATGTATGGATTGAAGATGAATAATAAAAGATCACAAAACTATTTGTGCGCCAAGAGGTGGGGGAGACCAATGAAATTTCAATAACACAATGATAGTTCTCAACGGTTACGAATGCAAGGTCCAAGTTAAATCAAATGCAAATCAAGGAAAGAAAAGGAAGAAGAATAATTATATCTATAGTATTTGTATCCCCATACAATTATATACACACCTACCCAATGAACTAAAATACTTGCATTCTTTACATTAACACCAAAGAACTGAACTTTTGAATGTATGAATGAGCCCCTACCCTTTTAAAAAATGCCTGATTAGTTTGCTAAACCTCAACAAACATACATGCAATTTGGTTGACCATCTCATCTAGAAACCTGGTCTAGACAAAATAAAAGTATTTCAAAGGCTAGCTAATGACAAAATACCTTCTCTTCAATTGAAAAGCGATTATGTCCACAGTCTTTACTTTTATCACAATGGGCTTGTGAGTTGTGCCTCCTAGCACCTAAGCACTTGAAAAAAGAAGGAAAAAAATATGAGTTCCTAAGAATGAGTAAAGAAGATTTTGAGCCCCAACGACAAACGGACCTGCGGCCAGATTATTTTCGGGGAGTAGCTTTCATTAGAAAAGAAACGAAATAATATCAATTTTATGACAAATCTGATTCGATTGCTTTTCCCCACTAACCACGAGGATATAGGGACTCCATCATAAACTCATATGGCAATTTTTTTTTCTTTTGGGTTTTTTTTTCTCAATTGCTTATTTAAAGAGAATGTCTAAAAGGCTTGCACCTATCACATCAACACCATAAGACTCGACTTTTTCTTCCCTTATTTGCATCTGTTAGCTTGCATTTTCCTAGAATCAGCCATTCAAACTGGACAGAAAAAAATGTCAACAACATGCAAAATAGTTTAATTGCTAGGTCCAATGTATCAAGAGTTCTTTTTCTGCATTATCTATTTCTCTTGTTAGGTGGAAAAAGACATGTGCCCACTTCATCTTTTTCTCTGTCCTGCTTGTTTCCAATTGAACAAGTTTGAACTGACCTCTATTTTATTCTTTTAGGTTGGAGGGAACTCGAATACAATATATATTTTTTTTCCAACAAAAAATAAAAATTCCCCACAGCAATTATCTTATTAACATTTGGTGACGATATTGTTAAGTACTTTTTTTTGGTTTTTTTTTTGTTAATTTTTATTTTAAGTATTTTTTGTAAGTCACCTTTGATTTTACTTTTTTATTATTAGGACTTACTCCCTTTCTCTAACATTAATAACATATCTAATAAGTATATCGTTTGTATACTAAAATGCATGTAGATCATTTTGTACAATCTATACAATTCTTCCATCCTTTTTTGTTTGCGATGCTTACAAAGCTCCACATAAAGGATGAAAATATATCCCTCCCGAATGAAAACCCTCGCGAAGGTGACCTTTTCGGGCCAAAAAAAGAAAGAAGAAAATCCTTTTGTAGGTGACCTTTTGAAAAAAAAGAATACCCTTTTGAAGGTGGAATTTGATCTAATTTGATTAATTAAGAGACTTCATTAGTTAGAGTAAATATTAGGTGTAATGGTGACTATGTTATCATTGA